TCGGAGGAGGGGTCTTGAAGGCTGAGCAGGCCCAGCCAGGCCATGGGGTGGGGAGGCATTCCAGGTGGAGGGCAGAGCAAGGGCAGAGACAGGGAGCAGGGACCTGACCTGGCACCTGCAGTCCTGGCGGTGCCTCATGGAGTGTCTCATGGAGCGAGGGTGATTATGGCGTGGGGGTCAGGCCATGAAGCTGGGCCGGGTCACAGGGGCTGTGAGAAGCATGTTAGAGGGTTGAACTCCATCCTGAAGGTCGGGGCTGGACCAAAGAACATTCTCAGGATGGGATGTGTGGGTGACAGCACCTGAGGGGTTATTATCCTTTTGGGGGGTGCTAGGGTTCCTTGAAGACCCTTTCTAAAGCTCGTGAAAGCCCGTAACTGTCCCTTCTCCCCCCACGGCCAGTCAGCGATGTGTCCATCCCCACACGTCCCGCTCAGGAGATGCCCCTCCTCTCGGCATTCTTAAAGCAGCGGCCCATCCCCACCGAAATCTGCTCCTTGGCTTCCGCGCATTTATTCGTTCCCTCAGCACATGTTCTTTGAGCCCCCAAGAGGCAGTTTGACGGTGTGGTTAGAAGTGAAGGCTCAGGAGCCAGGCTGCCGTAATTCATAGCCCAGCTCTGCCCCTGGCTGGCTGGGTGTCCTTGGCCGTCTGCACCCTGGTGCCTCATCTGCAGTCTGGAGCCATCAGTGCCTGCCTGTCTGCGTTGCCGTGAGGGTTCTGTGGGTTAGCCTGTGCTGGGCGCGCCGTCAGCACTGTCTGTGGTGGCGATTGTGACTAAGGTATTACTGTTACTGTCGCTATTACTGTTACTTACGAGCAGGTGGCGGCCCCAGCTGGGAAAAGAAATACAGTGGTGCCTGCACTGGTGTCTGCCTGTGTCTCTGGGGCCCCGGAGACTTGTCCTGAGTCGTCCGTGTTGCCTGGGGCAGCTTTAGGGGCAGGTACCGTGAGACCTGCTTAATCTCCTTGACCAGCAGACAGCGGCCCCCCCGCCCCCCGCCGCTGGCCTTGCCGTCAGGCTGCCCTTCACCTGTCGATTCATTTTCTCGCCTCTCTCTCTTTTCTCTCTTCTGATTTTTTTTCCATTTTCTGTTTTAGTCACTCAGGTTGATGGGGATGGGGGCTTCCCTTCCACGGGGGGTCCACAAGGCTCCCTTTGGCCGTGGCCCCGTGGAGTGGTTGGGGTCCAGGTCTTATCAGGCCGTTGACCTGCACTCGCCGGCTGTTCCACGTCTGCTCCAGGAGGACGACGATTCCTGCTCTGCTGCCCCCAGGGGCCCAGGGGCAGGGGACTGAGTTGGACAGTGGATGCGGGACAGAGGACCGTCTGGACAGAGGTCCAGCCAGGACCCGGGAGTGAGACCGCCCCGGCGGACTCCCTCTGACACTCATCATCTCTGATTTGAGCACATCGTTTCACCTCTCAGTGCCTGTTTCTTGTCCTGTGCAAAGACCCTCCTCATAAGGCGTCTGTGCCCAGTGCTCAGTAAGCTTATGTCTGTCCTCAGTGGTGGATGAGTGAGCTGCTTCTCATTCAAGGGCTTATTATGAACAAATCCTTTCGGTTAAACTGAAAAGTACAGGAGGAGAGGGAAAGGGTGCTGTTTGCTCTCGACGGGAAAGGTGACTTGGGGTCAGAGGGCCCTTGAGTATAAGAGCCCAGGGCAGGGTTGAGGCAAGACACGTGGGCGCCTCACATGTGGTTTTCTTCTCTCTCCAACTCGACAGTGGAGTCTTTGAGGGCAGGGTGCTTGTATCATGAAGGGCAGGTGACAGTGACAGCCCACGGGACCCCACGTGTGCTTGGCACTTAACATCCTTCAAATCCCCGTTACCCACTGTTGCCCCAAACTGCGCATGGTGTCAGCGTGCAGGATATATTATTTCTGTTTGTGCAAAATGTCCAGCAGATTAATTCATTTCTGTCCCTCCCTCTCTGGCAGGCCCTTGGAGTCATTGTCCCTAAGTAGAAAGAGGGTTTCTGATGACTTGGCCAAGTGATGGACCCAGGGAGGCTTCCAGAATAATTGCTGGTTAACTGGTCCTGGAGCAATCCGCAGAGGTCCCTTCTGGCTTTGCAGACCAGCCTCTCCCCTCATTAACTTGGCCTTCATTTTGCACTCACCTAATAGCTCTGGGCGTGGTGCCTACCCCTCACCTCACGGACAGAGCCCCCAGACCCCAAAATGTGTGAAGGGAGAGGGCTTTGTGGGGACAGGGGGAGGTCAGGGGCTACTGTCTCTATTAAAAGCGGCTGTCGTTTGCCCAGGTTGGAAAGACTAATTGTTCTTTTGTTTCCAGACTTGGGGTCTGTGGAACTCAGAATTAATGCATTAAATTAATTTTGTGCTCTCTTTGCTCAGGCCCATTAGCACAAATTAGATTTCATACTGATTGGCTAAGGCAGAGGGAACACAGTTGTGTATGGGATCAGGGCTGATCTCGGGGATGCGGGGCATGTTTAGGGGTGTGATCTGGGGCGCTCCTGGATTGCACTGGCCTGTAGTCGGCACCCACTGCAAGTAATCATTTTTCCAGCTTGAATGCCTTTGCACATCCATAGGCAGATCTAACCCATCTAAAGCCAGGTGAGGCCAAGGTTAGGAGGCGATCCTAGCTATTTCTACGGCAGTAATTCTTCAACTTCGTGGTGCTGAAGAGTCACCCTGGAGTGAGTTGAAATTCACATTCCTGGGTCCCACCTCAGAGACTTGGGTTTGGGGGATCTGAGGATCCTGAGATTTGTATTTAAACAACCGTCCAAGGTCATTGCAATGAATACTGTAGAGACGACAGTGCGAGGAATGGCAAAGGAAGCCCCACCCCAAAGGCAGCCAGGAACATGGCCAGAGAGCCCTTTCCCCTTTAACTGGCGTTCAGTACTTGGATGTGAGGGACCTGGGTCCGCTTCCACGCTGTGCTGCTCACTTGTTGTGTGACTTCCGAACACTCCCCTTAAGCCTCGTTTTTTTTGTCTGTTTATTGAAATTGGCATTTTGGCCTGAGCTGTCACTGGTATGGTCAGCAAGATGGGAGGGAAGCTGATGGGCTGGAGGAGAAAGAAAGGTGGGGGGCATAGAATGGACAGGGCAGCCCCAGCTCAATTTATGGTTTAGGCTATTTAAAAAAGATATTTTTGGTTTGTGTTTTTCTGATTACAAAAGCGGTTTAAAAAATCACCAGTACAGAAATGCATCACAAGGAAATTGGAGTCCTCTGTGAGTCCATCGTTCGGGGGTCTGTGGCGGGGAATCCCCATTCACAGCTTGGTAGTGCCTTTTTCTGTGCAAGTACAGACAAAAATGGAAACATGCCAAACGTTCTATTTTTTTTTTTCCCCTTGACAGTATGACTTGGGTTTTTTTTTTTTTTTTAATGGCAGAACATACAGATCTGCATCCTCCTTCTTCATGGGGCAGCTGAGTGGTTTTTGAGGCCACGTGTGAACTGATAGTTTTGACGGGGCCTGGATTCCACACCAGAAGGGCCACCTCGACTCTGCGTGAGAGCACCACACGGCCGCTCCTCAGTACCACACGCAGGGTCTGATGGGAAACTGTGGTGTTTTGACATCTTTATATGCAAGATCTATGGCATAGAATGGGATTGCCAGAGGACAGGAGACATCACCTAATTTAGTGCATTTTGTAGCTCGGGTGACCACAGCCCCAGAGAGGAAGAAACTTGTCCAGGGTCACGCAATATGTTGGTGGTTGTGTCTGAACTTGAACCCTGTACAGGGTTCTTACCTCTATTTTTTTTTCTTTTCGTTCTCTCCCTCTGGACTTGAGCCACTGCCTCACACAAGGGGTAGCCTCAGTTTCATGAGGACTCCTCTTCTGTTCAAGGTCAATTCTGTGCCTCTTGGTCTAAACTGTCCACTCATATGTTTCTCTCCTCACTTTCTTCGGCATATCCTTTAACCCAGAAGGCTGTATTTTGGAACAATAAGACCACAGAAGCGCTGACCCGTTTGGTGTTTGTTGTTGGTCGGTTATTTTGGGGGGGAAAAAAAAAGTCAGTGCAAGTGGGAATTCATTTAAAAATAAACATTTTTATTTTTAACTTTAAACGTGTCTACCTCAACTCACTGAGGTAGGATCAGAGCCCTTTGAGGATAAGCGTCTGACCCCAGATCCGCTTCTTTTTTGGACCACACCCCTAGCACACAGCTACATGATGTCCAGTTTTGATTTCTTTAAAGCAGAGCAAATGGCAAAGAAATCTGAATGCAAAAGCCTAAATTTTTTACTTCTGGTTTTTTCTTTATAGTTTTTGCACCTACACCTGTTTGACAATTTTAAGAAGCAACTCACTTGTATTTGTTACCTCCAAAGCATTCAACCTAGTTTTCATGGAAACTCTTTGCCCGGTCCCATTTTACAGGTTTATGTAATAGCTAATAGGATAGGTAATGGCGGTAAAAGTGTATGAGACATAAGCAGGTTGGGAGCACACACAGTCGATACCGGGTGAGCGTGGCTGTCACCTGGTAGGGGCAGGTGGACCCTGGGGAACCGTGCAGGTGTTTCCTGGCTGAGGGCATCCCTGGGGGGTGGGCACCTGTGAGCGTGTCTTACTGAGGGAGCCTGTTGGTTGGCCCAGTGAGATGGCTCCCTGAAGGACGGCTAAGGAGAGTTTCTACCAGAACAAGTGGTTTTTAATTGAATGCTTACTGTGTGCTGGGCCCCATGCTAAGCTTTACGTGGGTCATCTCAATCCTCACGACAATTCTCTCAGTTATCCACCCCCCGCTAAAGCCGAGAGAACTGAGTGTCCGAGAGGTGTCCTGCCTGGTTCAGAGTGTTGAGCCAGGGATTCTAACACACCTGGACCAGTAAAATTCCAGCACCCGTGCTCTTAGCCACCTTATGCTGAAGGGTTGCCTTGCGAGAAGACCCAGTGATTAGTCCAAGGGTGGTCCTGTGGAGTGTGTGTGGAGGCGGAAGGGTGTGCAGCGCCCGCAAGTAACCCTGCCTTCCCCCTCCCCCTCCCAGATTGCGGAGTTGACCGCAGAGCTGGCCGAGGAGCGCTTCAAAGGGGACGTGGCCTGCCACGTGCTGGAGAGTGAGCGGGCAGAGCGGCTGCGGGCCTCCCGGGAAGTTCAGGAGCTAAAGGCGAGTGGTCGGGAGTGCCGGGGGTGGGAGTGGCTGAGCAGAGTGGCTGGGAGAGGCGGGCCTGCCCCCCCCGAACCCCCACCGCCCCGTGCTCACATCTGGGATGCACAGGCTTACCGACTCCCACACTCGGAGTCCTGGAGGACATTTGAGTCTTCCTAAGTCTTGGCCTTGCAGGTGTCCTGGGTGAAGACTGTGCAGGGGGTAGGTGGCCAGTACTGGTTTGGGGGCACCTTAGGTGAGATGGCCTCTGTCTAGCTCCAGTTTGAAACCTTGAGGCCTCTCTTCCAGAGCAAGTATGAGCAAGTCCAGAAGAATTTGGGAGAAGTGGAGAAACAGTTGGAAGAAGCCCAGCAGAAAATTCGCTTGAATGATTTGGAAAGGGGTCGCACTGGAGGAGGTGAGCCACTGGGACCCACGGGATTAGACGCTGGTGGAAAAGCTGTCCTTTTATTCCATTCATTCACATGTACTGCGATCATGATGCTCTAGGCGCTGCATTAGGGGCTGAGACGTTGGCGGAGAGAAAGGAACAGTCCTTGCCTTCTCAGCCCAGTGGAAGACACAGGCATTAAACAGATAGTCCAGCAATATCCCAAGTAATAAATTATCAGTGTGGCAGGTGCTGTTTAGTAATAATGCAAAGAATGATTTAAAAATATACTGGTTCTGGGCTTCCCTGGTGGCGCAGTGGTTTAGAGTCCGCCTGCCGACGCGGGGGCCACGGGTTCGTGCCCCGGTCTGGGAGAGGCCACAGCAGTGAGAGGCCTGCGTACCGCAAAAAAAAAAAAAAAAGTGATGTCAGGCACTTAGCAGTTACTGAATGAATGGAGAGAGGGTGAGAGGACCCCTGAATTGCCCAACGAGAGGTATGTTCGGAGGAGCCAGGGGTTCCTGGTGGTGCCCGCCTTAGACGGTAACCTGGGGACTCGCCTCTCACGGCTGGATGGGCAGGATGACATCTTTGTCACCTCCTCTCCCCAGTCTAAATGAGTCAGCTGAGGAGGATTCCCAGCGTGCCTGTCAGCCTTTATGAAACGTTGATACCATTCCTTCAGTGCCCCCAGAGAATCAATGCCCTAGAAACATCAGGGACACTCAGAGGAGCCAAGGTCGGAGGTGGTGGAGGAGAGGCAGGGCACACTTGCTTCCTGCTCTCCTCTCGTTATCCTCTCCTCCTGGCTGCCCCCAGGGCAGGCGTTTTCCAGGGAGGTTAATCCACAGGAGTCTGAGGTTCTCACATACCTGAGACCCAACAAGGCAGGGTCCACGCAGGGAGTGGGGAACGTGTTGGCCCAGAACCGGCACAATTTCCCCAGGAGAACATCAGCCCCAGGTCCACCCCGACTGTGATTTATGTCTGAATGATACTCCCCGGCCATTTGCTTTCCTGTGCAAAGATATGGGAGTCGGACGATAGGGGAAATGCGCTTAGCTCATGAGCACATTAGCTGTGCAGGCTTTCAGCTCGGGATGCTTATTCCAGGAAGCTAATCCACAAATCTTTTGTTTTTCATTATGAAAGTAATACATACTCATTACAGAAAATTTCAAAAATACAGGAAAGTTGAAAGAAGCAATAAAACACTTTAATCACACCACTGCAGTGGCACCACAGCCTCTTCTGTGGATCAAGGTGGAGTTGAAATTACTAAAGATATATGTTTTCCCACTATACATGGTTAAGTATTTAAAGAGAACCTTTTACGGTATGCGTCCAGCACTGAGCCAGACCCTGTTGTGTGTCGGTGGGTGTTTTATAGAAGAATTTTAGTTGGGCCCTGCTCTCAAGAAACTTGCAAATGCTCTTCATTTAATAGACACTTTAATTATTGCTCATTGATTTATTTGTTAAGTAATTCAACCAACAGTCGCTGATTTTATACTCTTGTCACCCAGTGTGGTAGGCCAGTAGGATGACTCCAGTTGGTGAACTTGTGTTACCATGTGGGGGGGAACGGCTGTGTGTGGGGGACTCTTCTAGAGGGTGTGGAGAAACCCGCAAATGACTAAAACAGCTCCCCTACCCTCAAAAATTATGGACTTCCCTTGGGGAAAAAAAACGTGTTTGCACACTTGTAGAGAAATTGAACAGTGTAAAACGACCAAGCTTAAAATAGTGAGTGGTCAATAACGTTAGACACCTGGAGGTAGTCAGGGCAGGCTGCCTGGAGGAAGTGGTTTTTAAAGCTTGGACTTAAAGTGGGATTTCCTAATCTGAAGCCTGAGGTCGAGCCTCAGGAATTCTATTAACACTGTGAAATTGTGCACAAAGAGCTAAGACCGTGGGAGAGAACCACCCTCGTTCACTGAGCCTCCCATCCTGGCCTCTCTGACTCTGTTAAACAGCGGATGAGTGGCAGATGCGCTTTGACTGTGCTCAGATGGAGAACGAGTTCCTCAGGAAGCGTCTCCAGCAGTCCGAGGAGAGGCTGGACTCGGAGCTGGCGTCTAGGAACGAGCTGGAGCAGAAGGTAAGGTGGCAGGGAGATAGTCTGGGTTGCAAAAATGGCAGCGATTGGGCAGGGTCTCACCTCCCTCTTCAGGGTGTTGGCTGAACCCAGGAAGGGAGAGAGGACATCCCCTGTTCTGTGCTTCTCCACCTCCACTGATGTTACACATGCAGGTCTCTATGGGATGTGGGTGATAGTTTCTCTACATGCGAGTGTTCGACACTGTGGACTAAAGAACATGAAAGTGAGCTCGGGATACCTGAGTTCCAGTTCCCTTTCTGCTCTGACCTTGTGGAAAGCACTTTTACCTTTTGGGTCTCAGGTTTCTCATCTGTAAAATGATTGTAATGTGCTCTTAAAATAGTCAAATGATATCAGCCCCCATTGCCTCTAGCCTAACCTGCCACCTCTATCTCTCGTCTAGATCAGAGCAACAGCCTCCTAACTGGTCTCATTGCTTCCAGCCTCTCCCCTCAACCACACAGCAGCCAAGGGATCTTTCAGCATCTCTTTCAGGTCGTTCTGTCATCGCAAGTTAGACTGACTATCGCTGGGAATTGTTTGCTTGTGTGTTCTGTAAATTTTGATTGTGAGTACATCTTCCACAGGCGCCTCTCACACACCAGCCCCATGTGGTCTGCATTGTAGATGTTCCTTTTTTCCCTTCTGACTCTCGTGGTGAGATTTTATGTGTCTTTAGCTTTTTTTTTTTTTTTTGAGTCTATCTTATTTAAAAAAATTTAAAAACCTTTTTATTGATTTTTTTTCTTTTTATTGATTTTAACTGGAGTCTTATGTTTTTGGATGTGTTCCTCTTAGAAGAAGCACTTTTGCACTTCTTCTTCTGCAGCAGCCCCCGAGGTTATGCTAAATAAATTCTGCATTTCAGAGTTTTGCAGCATGTCCAAAGTGTCAGGCTGAGCTTTGAACCCACACGAGGCACAGACCTGGGGTTTTGATTTCTCACGGGAATCCTTTCTCCCTGACTGGGAGCCAGAGTGGCGGCAAGCATTCTTACCACCTTCCAGGCCATGGGTGGAACTTTCCTTGCCCCCTGTCACATAGGTGCAGCTCTTTCAGGGTCCTGGCTTAGTGCAGGGGTTTTCCTTCCAAGCTCCCACCTTCCGTGGCCCCATGGCCTTGTCTCCTGTCTCCCTCTGGGCGTTTGAACACAGCCTCTATCATTAGGGATATTTCTGGATCTTTCTGCTGCTCTTCTTCTCCCCCACCTTGGCTGCCATAGTGTCAGCATCTACCATGAGTGTTCTTGTTTTGTGTCCTCTGCATTTCTGACATCCTACAATTTCCCTTTTTTTCTTGAAAGTGCAGCTGGGCATTACAAATATAATGTAACCTTGTCTGGCGTATCTAGATGAAAGTAGTTTGGCCTCTGTTTCACATTGTCTCCAGCCACCGCTAGTCTGCATTCTACCCAGTCTACACTTCAACCTGTGGTGTGCTGATAAACTGTCGCTCTAAAAACAGACCCTGATGTGTAATGTTTGCCAGTTGCCGATTTCCGTGGTGTAAATGTTCCCACCATGGCCAATGTCAGGCTACCATTGTGATGTCACTGGATGTGGAACTGGGAAGAGATGTGCAGAATCAGTTTTAAGTTGGTACGAGACAGCTCCGGCACACCATTGAGTCCAACCAACTCAATTGTTTAAGGCTCACAGGAAAATTGAGAGGAAGGTACAGAGGTTTCCCATCTACCCCCTATCCCTACACTTGCATAGCCTCCCCCATTATCAACATCCTCCACCAGAGTGGGACCTTTGTTACAGTCAATGAACATTCATTGACCCATCACTAAAGGCTGTAGTTTGCTGTAGTTTACATTAGGGTTTACCCTACTGTCCTGTATTCTGTGGGTTTGGACAAATGTGTCATGACATGTATCCATGTTATAGTTTCATACATATAGATTCAGTGCCCTAAAAATCCTCTGTGCTCCATCGGTTTACCCTCGCCCCCAACCTCGGGCAAGCACTGATGTTTTTACTGTTCCCATAGCTTCACCTTTTCCAGAATGTCATATAGTTGGAATCATACCATATGGAGCCCTTTGAGATTGGCTTCTTTCACTTAGGAGTATGCATTTGAGGTTCCTCCACATCTTTTCATTTATAGCTTGATAACTCATTTCTCTTTAGCTCTGAATAATATTCCATCATCTGGACGTATCACAGTTCATTTATCAATTCACCTACTGAAGGACATCTCAGTTGCTTCCATGTTTTGTCAGTAAATATCCATGTGCAGGTGTTTATGTGGATGTAAGCTTTCAGTGCCTTTGAGTGAATACCAAAGTACATGGTTTCTGGATCATATGGTAAGAGTATGTTGAGTTTTGTAAGAAACCATCACGCTGTCTTCCAAAGTGGCTGCACCATTTTGCATTCCCATCGGCAATGTGTAAGAGTTCCTGTTGCTCCACATCCTCGTCAGCATTTGGTGTTGTCAGTGTTCTGTATTCTAGTCATTCTAATAGGTGTGTGGTAGTATCTTGTTTTAATTTCCCTGATGACATAAGGTGTGGAACATATTTTCATATTCTTATTTGCCATCAGTAACCTTCTTTGGTGAAGTTTCTGTTAAGGTCTTTGGCCTGTTTTTTATTTGAGTTGTTTGTTTTGTAATCATTGGATTTTAAGAGTTCCTTGTATATTTTGGGTAAGTTCTTTATCAGATATGTCTTTTGCAAATATTTTCTTCCTGTCAGTGGTTTTCCATTCTCTTGATAATGTCTTTTGCCGAGCAGAAATTTTTAGTTTTAATAAAGTCCAGCTTATAAATTCTTTCTTTCATGGGTTGTGCCTTTGGTGTCATATCTAAAAAGTCATTTGCCAAATCCAAGGTCATCAAGGTTTTCTCCTATGTTATCTTCCAGGAGCTTTATAGTTTTGCATTTTACATTTACGTCTGTGATCCATTTTAAGTTCATTTTTGTGTAAAATCTGTGTCTAGATTCATTTTTTTTGGCACGTGGATGACCACTTGTTTCAGCACCATTTGTCGAAAAGATTGTCTTTGCTTCACTGTATAGCATTTGCCTCTTTGTAAAAGATTGACTGACTGTATTTCTTTGGGTCTTTTTCTGGACTCTCTATTCTGTTCCATTCCCTTTTTTTCCCCCCCTCCTTCCAAAAAGCCTTATTCTTTCTCACCTCTGGGCCTTTGCATATGCTGTTTCCTTTTCCTAGAACACTTTCTTTCCCTACCTAGATATCTCCAACTAACCTTAAGATCTCAGCTTAAATGTCCTTCCCTCCAGAAAGTCTTCCCTGACACATTGGGTTGGGTGCCCCTGAATTATTTTTCCGATGTAAGCCTCATCATGCCGTGTTGTGATTATCTGCGTACTTCCTGGTGTCCCCATTAGAGGTTAGCACAATAAGAGTTGTCATATTTCCTGTCCTGCTATTTTATGTATATATAGATATATATTTCCTCATTGTGAGAGCAAAGTATCATGGAATCAACTTGCAGAGGTGGGCCAGGATGAGATCACACGGGATTTTATACACAGTGGAAGTGAGGCTCTCTGGAGATGGTTTTAGGGGTCACTTCCAAGCTGGACATTGTATCATGATGCTCAGAAGACATAGATAACCAGTGAGGGGCAGCCACAGGGGAACAGCCCAGTTCTTTCTATAACAAATTATAAAGTCGGGTCAGCCTCCCCAAGGAAGGAGGGATACTCATGCTACATTAAAAAGTAATAGAAGTGCAACCTTTTTCTGAGCAGCAGAATATATGAAAACATCCCATTTGCCTTCAAATACTGAATTTAGAATTACAGGCTTCATTAACTCAGCGTTTTGCTTATTTAAAGCAATTCTTTAATGAGGCCATTTCTTCAAAGCGAGTGTGCTGAGTTGCCCTCTCTCTCAGATCTAAACTAGGACATTTGGGAGGGTGTTTCCTGGAGGAGATGCAAGTGCCGTGGCTTTCCTGTTTGTTTCCAGCAGCGCGTGTCCCCGTGGAAGTCAGCCCATCTCAAGCGCCAGTTACCGCCCTGACCGTTGGAGCCTGTCTCAGGGGTTTCCTGGTCACATTTTCTCCATGTGCCGTTTGGGCTGCTTCATGGCTGATGCGCATGCGTCTCGCCGGATTATGCCCACTGATGTGGTTATCAATTATGCATAGTCCTTAAGGGGCTGTCAAGTTGAGGCAGGGCACGTAAAGGATCTGTGGGCACACTGGCAGGAGGATTATTGAGGAAAATTAAAAACCCTAAGAGAATGATAGACACTCCCGCCCCCCGTTTTATCCCTGAGCAAACTGAAGCTCAGAGAAGTAGCTTCCTCACGGTGGCACAGGTGAAAAGTGGTCAGGACAGGGTCGTTCCAGCCCCCGTGCCTATTCTCTTCCCATTACACTCACACTGGAAACAGCAGCTACTTGACCTAGGAAGTAGGGGGCAGTTCGGTGCTGACAGAGGTGGCTGATTCGTTCTGCTCCTCCCACAGCTTGGGGAGCTGCAGAGTGCTTACGAGGGGGCCAGGAGGATGGCCCAGCAGCTGAAGAGGAAGTGCTACCATCTGACCTCCGACCTGCAGGACACCCACTTCCTGCTGGAGAACCAGCAGAGCCGAAACCACGAGCTAGAGAAGAAGCAGAAGAAGTGAGTTGCGTTCCACGTCATCATCTGGGTGCTGGGGTCTTCTGGGGTCTCCGGATTCTTCCAGACCCCTCCACTTCAGTCAGGGCTCTTCATCCATGGAGCCTACCATCCTTGTTCTGCTCTAATTTTCCTCTCTCTCCCCTCACACATTCCTATATGGTTCTCCCAAGAATCTAGCAAGAAATAATTCCTTTCTGTTACCCAGTCTCAGCTCTATTACCAACTGACCATGTGAGCTTGGGGAACTTTCTTGGCCCCTCTGGGCCTCCGCATCCCCACTTATCAAGTGTAGAGTTCATTGTGGAGGCCAAAGACAGCCTGGCCTGGTGGTTAGGGGTGCAAGTGCTGGTTCAAGTCCCAGCTGGGCCTCTTGCTACTTGTGTGACCTTGGACAAGTCATTCAACCCTTCTCAGCCTGATTCTTCTCCTTAGGTGGAGCGCCTCCCTTGTGGTGAAGACTAGATGATAACAGTTGGTAGATCCCGCAGGACTAGGGTCTGGTTCCTGTTCTCACTGTTGAAAATGGTGAGGAGGCCAAAAACTTCAGTCAGTGCCCTTTTCATTTGAAGTTTAGACTCTCAGCTCACGCGAGCAGTTCTGGCAGGGACTGGGCTTTGTGCACAAACAAGATGCCAGTCTTGAATCTGCACACTGGTTCCCGTGCTTGCTTTCCTGGTCTAGGTGGGTGGAGCCTAGACCAGGAGCCCGGGTTTACACTCACAGGCCTCCTTACGTGCAACCTCAGCTTCATCCCTGGACTCCTTGGCTGTGTCCAAAGTTCTTCAGCTCACCTGGTGAGGGTAAAGGTGTGCAGGGGTCTTGTTCTGAGCCAGATAAGCCCTAATGGAAACTTCCTAGGAGGCAAATAGATGAAATACAGCCTCTTTGAGAAGGTCCAGGATAAAAATACAGAAAAACCTTGCTATGTGTGCCAGGATGTGGTTTTGCCGAGGTTGCCTATTTCCACCAGGTAGCAAGCTGAGTTATATTTCCGTGCGACTGGCACAGGTCTTGAACTCGATCTGCATTAAATATTGTTTCTCTCATTCACCTTTGAGCTTTCCTGAGCTGGCTCCTTCATTTGGGGGGGAAAAAAAGAAGCTCTTTGGGGTGTTATTAGTGCCCCCCCAGAATGAGAGAAGTTTCTTCTCCTCTTGCTGGTAGCTGACTCTGTTTCCTTCTCCACCTTCCCGTGGATGCTCTGGCTAAACCCTGTCCTTGCAGTGGGGAGAATGGCTTAGTCCCACCTTGGTCATTTCCTGGGTGACCTTGTCAAGTGACACTACCTGTGTGGGCCAGACAGTGACTGATGTTTCAGAGCCGTCCTTGGACTTCAGCAGGCCACCTGGTGCTGAAGAGTGGCTCTGACAGACCCCCATCTGTAAATTGAGAAGTGAGACTCCATCACCCCTCAGGTTTCTGCCAGCTGTGACAGTTCTGGCCCTTATCTGTGGGTTCCACTTCCGAGAGGCCTTATGAGGGGGTTTCAGATTTCTGATGGGTGGCAGGGGCCAGGGTTCTGCCCTTGGAGTTTATGCAGCCAGAAAATTCCATCTCTCTGGTCTTCCCTGTGATCGACCCCCTTGGACAGAATCCTTCATTCCAGGTCCTCAAGAACCTCCCCGTGATGGCCACCGGGAAAGTCGCCATTTCATCATACTTACATTTCTTCTTCTTAAGACTTACCTGCCCTGTCATGCTCTGTACTCCGTTACCATATCTCAGCAGAAGTTAATTTATGTTTTGATGCTCATTGCAAATAGCAGCCATTACCTTTCTAGGTGGGCTGGCACTTTAGCAGGGAGCCCATAAGGGAGTAGAGGTCTCTGTCTAACGGTGGAGATTCAGGCAGAATGCCTATAGTGAGGGAGAGATCTAGAAGCTAGTGTTACTCTCTCCCACCTCTTTAAGCTTGATCGAAGTGTAGATGCAGCTGCCTCCTTAGTTTGCTGGGCTCTGGAGGCAGTGATGTCTCCGTGCTGATAGAGTTCCCTGCCCCATCTTGGCTTCTAAGTTCAGAGTGGCCCAGAACGGCTCTATTTGAGTTTGGCTTCTTGTTGCCATGGTTACTCATGGGTCACAGAGCTCAGTTCCGAGGGCTGATGGAGCTCCCGGCTGCTTCCACAGGGAAAAGGCCTGTGCTGGAGCCACGGGAGGTTGGACCCCCAGCCCGCTCCTAGTGGGGTGAAGGGTGTGAGTCCCTCTGGCCTCAGGCAGTTCGTCGGTCAGTGCGTTCCAAAAGTTAGGGTCTGTTGGAGGCCTTCTTAGGCATCAGGTGGCCCAGTAAGGACTCCTTTAAGACATCCATCACTGTCTGGCCCCCAGTGTCTTTCCTTCCTGTTCCAGGGCGTGAACAGGTAGATGGGGGACCAGCTACATCAGCAGAGAAGCTGGCTCAAACCCACTTTGGGATTGTGGCTGAATCACTCACCTCTCTGAACTTCAGCTTTCTCTTGTATGAAATGGTTATAATGTGTTTCTTACTGAATTGTTATAAGGACCCCATGGATCCCAGCTCAGAGCCTGGCCCTTTGGGACTGCTGGACCATTATCATCATCACAGTGTGACCATTTCAGAGGCAGCCAATAGTGCCTCTTGAATGATGTCACCAACAGCCAATCAGAAAGCCTCTGGGCCCTTCCAACAGTAGGCCCCCCTCATATGACCTATAGTTGGCTCTTTCAGGAGTCTTGAGGCTTTGAATGACCATCCAAGGGGCATTGGATAATCTTGTAACAAGGGAGATCTTCTTCTCACCAAGGACAAAATCCCATGCCCAGTTCAGCCATTCTGGCCACACCCAGTTCCCTGGAGCACGTGGCCTTTCTGTGTGGGCTGAGGGCAAGTGACCAAAGTCACATCTTATTGAGGCTTATCAGAGCCTCTGCCAGTTTCCTCGCCTGTGATAGGGACAGAGGCTGATGAGTGGAATGATGTCCAGTCCAGGAAGCGCTTCCCACCTAGTGGTCACCATCGTGGAGGGGCAGGTGCGCTCCAAAGTAGGTACTTCCTGATTCCCCAACGGCCCCCATAGGACTGTCCAGTCTCTGTGTGTTCTGCTTAGGAACCAAATGAAGACAAGATGGTATGTATAACTGTCCAGCGTTCTATCAGTAATAACCGTGCTCTAATATGGCTAATGAGTGCACGAGCCCCACAGTATCATGCACAATATGAAATGTTGAATATCCCTTGTTTGTGCTGATAAGTACATTCATGTACCAATCAATGGATATTAGATGCCAAACCTGGGCCTTGTAGAATTAAAGGTCCTTGGCGTACGTCAGCAAACCTGATAGGTTAGTTTTTTCTGTATATCTATATGTTTTTTGTTCTTATTCTCTATTTGTATAGTTTTATTCTATTTTTATTTTTGTGTATATGTTTTTATCACATTTTAAATAAGTGTCCGGTATTTTTGTGGAAACTATAAACCCTCAGCGTTGCCCTCTGGTGTTCAGGATTCCTACCCCACATCCACAAACCCTCTATCATTTAATTCTCTTTCTGTCCCTAGCGGTTCTCAGCAAGCTAACTGCCTCCCTCCAGCACCCGCCTTCCCTCCGCCGCCCCCGGTCCAGGCACACCCGCCTCGGGGCCGTGACCCACGTTCTGCTCTGACAGGTTTGACACGCAGCTGGCCCAGGCCCTGGGAGAGTCCGTGTTTGAGAAGGGCCTCCGAGAGAAAGTCGCCCAGGAGAACACCAGCGTCCGGTGCGAGCTGGGCAAGCTTCAGCAGCAGCTGAAGGTGAGGGGCGGGGGCACAGCGCCCCCTGGCTCTTGGTTGCTGGGTCTCAGGAAACCCCTCCCTCGCACGCCTGCAGCAGATGGTGCGGGGCGAGAGCTCTGCGTGTGGCCGTCCTGGTCGGCCAGTGCCGGCGGCGTCACTGGAGTCCAGCGCGCCTGAATCAGCAAAGCGTGGGTGGCAGGTGATGGATAAGCAGGCCTCCCTAGCTCCACGTCCCTCGGGATCTTGCTCCAGTCACCTGCCTGCCTTCCGAGCTGCCCACCTGGGAGCGGGGAGAGGCGTGCTCAGGATGAGTTAGCTCTAGACCCAGCTAGAGGCAGTGCCCTGTCCCCTGCAGGTGCCAGTGCAGAGGGATTTGATTAAAATATGACACAGGCACCTCCCTCAGCTGCTCCTCAAGGCCTGCTGTGGCTCCCTGTTACTCTGGGAGAACCTCTGCACCTCTTAGCCTGGCGGGCAGCTCCTTCATGATGTAGCCCAAACTTCTTTCACCCTGGAGCTGACTTTCTAACCTGGAAGAGTCATGCCTGGCCACTTGGCTTCCCTGCTCCAACATCTCAGGCCCACCCTTGGCAGGTACACAGCTTTCAAATGGGGCAAACACCTCCTGTTTGTGCTTTGAGGTCTAGCTCTAGGGGCAAGGGCGCTGCTTCCCACAAACTCCCCACCCCAGCCTGTCTGAGCTGTCCCAGGGAGGGGCCCTTGGTGTCCTACAGGGGGCGCGGCGGGGGGCCGCGAGATCCAGGTGGAGATGGCAGTGGAGATGACATGCACTGAACAGTGGAAAGCGCCCTCCCGCAGGTTGTAGAGGTGTCCCAGGGGGAGCAGGAGTATGGTCACGTGACTTCGGATCTCTGCCCACCTTGTCTCTGTAGGGAAAGGAGCAAGAAACCTTGCAGCTGAAGCAGGAGGTGGAGATGCTGCAGGCCCAGAAGCAGGAGCTGCTGGGGTCACCCTCTCTGGTGGAGAATTGCATTGCGGGCTTGAAGGAGAGGCTCTGGAAGCTGGAATCCAGCGCCCTCGAGCAAGAGAAAATCCACACCCAGCAGGAAAACACCATCAAGCAGCTGGAGCAGGTAGGAAGGTCCTGTCCAGGGCGATGCCCTGCCCCATGCTGACTCCAGTGCAGAAGGCTGTTGTCAAAATACGACATAAGCGCCTCACTCAACTGCTCGTCATCCTTCTGTGGCTCCCTAGTACCCCAGAGCACCTCAGCCCCCTAGGTCTGACGTTCAGACCTTTCATGATGTAGCCCCCCTCCTGCCATCCTGCAAGCATCAGTGTCAGCTCCTCCGAGAAGCTTGCCCTGGTCTCCTTCTTGCAAACAACCCCACCTCCACGCCGCTCCTTAGCCATTTGGTTCTCCTTCATAGCACCTGCCATCATATGCCATAGTGCTTTAAAAAGTGTGCTCAGTGCTTCTCTCCCCCATTAGGATATAAGCTTCAGGGAAACAGGAGGACGTTTTGGTTGATCTTGCTTATCAGGGCATCCCCAGAGCCTGGAATGAGGCCGGTGCATAGTTGGTACTCATTAAATAACTGTTGACCCAATATCTGGTGTTTATTGAGCGCTGTCTGTGTACCAGACTCAGCCCTAAGCTCTCCTCACATCTCACCTCATCAATCTCCACAAGAAATTTATATGCTGAGATATGAGTATTATCCCCACTTTATGGATGTGGAAACTGAGGCTCAGGGACGGGATTTGGAGCCTGCGCCATCTGACTCCACAGCGCCTCGGCTACCTGTGCTGTGCACAGCCTCCAGGGAGATGGGAGCCCCGATCTTTGGAAAATGCAAAATAACTGAGGGGAATAAGGCAGGAATCCAATACTCTTGTACCAGCCCCCTCAACGAAGCACCTGAGGAATATTTTGTCGGCTTGTTTGTTTATATGCCAACTCATTCCCCAAAGAATTCGAGGCAGCTTATAAGATGTATGCATAATAAAACAGAAAAATAAATAAAACAAGCCAAACCAGAAAAACACAAATTAAAACCGGTGCTAAGGAACGGTGGGGTGGTGAATTAATAAGCAGACACGCAGAACATACGATCTTACACACTTAATAGGTTTAGCTCTAAAATTCCTGGTGGCCAGAGAGAAAAAGGAAATGTGAGTTCCATGCTTTTTTTATCATCCCCAAGATAAAAACAAGCTAGGCTTTCAAGGGGAAGCAAGGCTTTTCTTGATGCTTAGTTCTAAAAAAATTTCTCATGTGAGATTTCATAAGGGGTAATTATGTTGAAATGGTTTTAAGGTTGGAACTCCTTTTTCAAGAACATCTGACCAGGCAGCATGAATACGTAAAAGCAAATAAACTGAGCTGCTCTGGTGAAGTGGGGTGAGGGAGTGGGGGCGGTCGGGGGGAGGCTGGGGTGCTGGCCCTTGCTTCTCACTTATCCCCCCTCCATTGGGATGGAGTCTGCTGAGTATTGAGACATGGATGTGGCAGGCGTGGAGGGACAGTCTGGAGTGGTTCAGAAAACAGCATCTTTACTCAGTCAAACCCATATTTATTAAGCACCTACTGTGTGCCAGGCATAGGGTGGATGCTAGGGACGCAGCTGTAAGCAAGACGAATGTGGTCTCCACTCTGCTGAAGGTTATAGTTATGCTGAGTGTTATGGGAAGGTTTAACTTGCAGAATCTGGTTTGGGGAGCAGGTTTGGAACAGTCAGGGAAGACTTCCTGGAGGAAGTGATATTTACTGAAGCTGAAAGCTGAAGGATGAGTCTGAGTTGGCTGACGAGGAGAGTTCCAGGCAGGGGGAACAGCCACTGCAAAGGCCTCGAGGCAGGGGAGTCACGTGGCATTTAAGGAACTGCGAGATGATCACATGCAGATGGGGTCTGTGTGATGTTAGGCGAGCCCCCTGTTTTCTCTAGATTTTAGTCTCCTCATCTGTACAATGAAGTCGGAGCCTTGTCAACCCCCTAGCCTCCCCCCAACCCCAGCTGTGAATCTGTGAAGGTTCGTGAAGGAGGTGGGATATCTGTGCAGGTTGTTCTGGGACGTAGAGGGTGGAACAGTGTCACAAAGCAACCCAGAGTCAAGAGTAGAGTGAGCACTTTGGAAAGTTGTGTTACCTCTTGAAAATGCCACCAGGGGACCACTCGGTGCTCGGAAGCAGAAATGTGCTACGGTGATCTCAGGGACCCGAGGCTGAATGCAGCTTCCCAGTACCCCCCGTCAGCTTACACAGGAGGCGAAGCTGACTCAACCCTTTCATCCATCTTCAGCTTCACCCATCACCTCACACTGCACTGGGCTATTGTAGACATCCAGGAGATATTTATTGATTACAACATAGCACTTTTTCCAGGAAATTTTATGTTAACTCATATAAGCTTGACATAAATGATATTGCAGATGTCAGGAGTGTCCAAGAGGCTAGGAAAAAAATGAAAAAGAAATATTACGTTTACTTGCTTTAAATGCTCCTCATTTTGGATTACCTTCCCATGACCTCTGTCATTTTAAAGGAGGCAGGGAAGGAAGTTGGCATTTAAAGCGAGCCTGCTTTCTGCCGGGAACTACAGTAGGGGCTCTGATGCACACCATTCTTCTTCCTCTTCGCCACAGTCCTATGTAGTAGAGAATATCAATGTTGGGAAAGACCACAGTTGTCTTTTTTCGACTGCATGTCCATGTTAGAGAGGCAGCAATTGTAGCCTCATGAAAGCTTGCTGTGAGGTGCCAGGGCAGAGTAGCAAATGGTCAGGACGTTGTAGTTTCTACAGTCTGCCCGTCTGTACTGGTGGGTTCCATGCTGCTCCATGACCAACAGAATTGAAGAGGATAGATCAATGAAAGCTTGACAGTATAGGTTCCTGAGGCCCATATCCTGGAGATTCTGACCCAATAGGTCTAGAGTGAAGCCCTGGAATTGACATTTTTTTAAAAAAAGGCACCAGGTAATTCTAATATGCCACAAAACTTGACACGCAAGAGCTTGGATCAGTCTCTGAATTATGCAAATCAAGAAAGTAAACTCTTGAACTGGAATTGGGTCCCATGCCTTCTGCGTCCAGTTCTAGAGCCTTTATGTAAGGTGGCACGGCGTAAACATCACACGCAGCTCTTCTCCTGCCCTGAGCAGGTGGTGGAGGCTCTCACTGAAAAGCCTCATCTCCTTAATGGGAACACAGTTCTTGGTTATGTCAGGCTTCTGGGAAGGGAGGGGCCAATCCTTACTCTGTTTTCAAAATAATGGGGAAAGAAAACGTAATCTTTTTGTGCCAGGCGTTGCGCTACGTGTTTTATATGTCATCTCATCTAACTATCACAAATGTATCTTAAGAAGGCTGTTTTCCACAGAGCAAGGTAACTAATCAGAGGCAAAGTGAATTGTCAAGGTAGCATCTTGGGCAAGTCATCTCCCTCTCCAGGGTTTCCTGTCTTCATAAGTAAACTTTTTTTTTATTTTTTTTTTGCGGTACGCGGGCCTCTCACTGTTGTGGCCTCTCCCGTTGCGGAGCACAGGCTCCAGTCACGCAGGCACAGCGACCATGGCTCATGGGCCCAGCCGCTCTGCGGCATGCGGGATCTTCCCGGACCGGGGCACGAACCCGTGTCCCCTGCATCGGCAGGCGGACTCTCAACCACTGCGCCACCAGGGAAGCCCCATAAGTAAACTTTTATTCTACCATCCATTCACCCACCTATCCGCCCATCTAGAAGAACTTCCCTGATGCCTGCTCCAGGGATGACAAATTTGTTTCATCCTGAGAGTGTTGAGAAGGATTCCAAAATGATATCTAAACGCAGTGGCAAAGAGTATGATTGATTAGTGACGTTATGACCACAGAAGGGATAGAGGCAGTGTTTGGGCTATTTACCTACCATTTCTGACCTCCCTGGGTGCCTGGGGCGAGGTGGGGGGGATGACTTGACTCTCATCCATGCGGTCCCAAAATGAAAAATGCAGCTGAAATGCTAAGGACGACGTGGATGGTGTGGGCCACCCTCACGCGCTGTCCTTGCCGCCCCCAGCTCCGCCAGCGGTTTGAGCTGGAGATTGAGCGGATGAAGCAGATGCACCAGAAGGACCGAGAGGACACGGAGGAGGAGATGGAGGACATCCGCCAGTCCTGCCAGAAGCGGGTATGTGAGCCACGAGCACAGCTGTGTCCTGGGGTCCCGGCAGGGTCAGCCTGGGTGCGTCATCCTTAGAGTGAGGGGAATCCCAGGGCCTGGGGACAGTCCCTTCAACCACCTGAGACCTTAGCTTCCCCAGTGCTTTCAAGGGTGCTGGAGCAGACGTACCTGTCCTAACTACGATCCTCGGAAACTGTCTAGCATCATCACCCCAAGATTTCTCCCAAGAGCCCACAGTGCCATGTGACTGATGCTTTGGGTAAGGATTTATATGTTTCAAGAAAGGGACCAGTCCCTTCTGGCTATTTGCCTGGCAAATCATTTCTTACATTTTATCCAAGCTCTTTGCAGACATTTCAGACAGTGTGTAAGAAGACAGTAAACCCTTGAAATCTTACCACCAAGGCACCATCATTATTACTATTTTTAAATGTTCTTTCTCTCTTTCATTGTACCCACACATGCATATTTGTAGAGAGATCGTTTTACCTAAATGGGGTCATGCTGCTGTTTTCACTCGAAGTTTGTCCTGGGCCTCCTCTCATGTCAGTAAATGCAGATCTAATGTACATGTTTAATGGCTTATAAAAGTATTCCACCTTAGGCGTGTGCTCTCATTAATTCTCTTGTCATTGGACATTTAGGGTTTTCTGTTTTTATGGCCAGTGCTGAGACAGACCTCCTTACAGATGCATGCACTGATGTGAGTGTGAGATGAATCTTTAAAATGCAATTGCTGAGAAGCTTTGGGTTACGCCTCATTTGACAGGTTTTGTCTGGGTAGGGTTTCTGTGGGCCTTTCATAGCCTTGGGTACATTGTGAGTCTCCAAGAAGGGGCCGAGTAGCATTTCCCAAGGTTGACTCTGATTATTAGTTCCCTAAGCAGAGTCTCTACAGAGACCTCCAAACTGCAGGGCCTGAGAGCATGGGTGCTGGAACTCATAGACTCTTGGTTTGAATCTTTGCCCTTCCTGCTCCCAACTCCATCAGCTATCAGCTGTGGGGTGTTGGAGAAATCACGTAACCTTGCTAATAAGCCTCACTTCTCTCATCCGTAAAATAGGATAATGATGGCCCCCTGCAGGGTAACAGGGAAGATTCAAGGAGATCACAGATGTGGAACTATTGAACAGAGTTTTGTAATGTAACCCTTGATGGTTGGAAACTTACGAGCAATACCGTGTGTGTGTGGATTTTCAGGTAGCTGATCCTTCCAGAGGAACCAGGGAACAAACCTGGTGGTTGCCTTGCTCTTGGGTGTGACTAATCCATCCAAGAGAAGGAGGGTTCAGACACTTGGTGCTCTGCAGATCCCCCCAAGAGCATCCTCCTGGGCGGGGCTGGAGGAGGCCTCAGTGGGGTCAGGACCTCGGCGGAGACGGGACTCTAGTGAGGAAGTCCTGGGCAGATGGGGTCTCCTCGGCACCCTGTCATCGCCCCGGGCGGGGAGGGGAGTAAGTAAGAACTGAGCCCCTCTCCACTCCCAGTGGTTGGTGCTGCTGCATCTGCTGCCCTTCCTGCTCCTCAAATACTCCTTTTGGGGCCCCTCTGGGGGTTTACATGGATCATCCCGAGGGGCCAAGTGCATTCCCCCCAGAACTCCCCAGAGTTGGAAAAGAAGAGTCATAGATTTTAGGTTCAACCAGACCTGTGTGCCCTTGAGTAAGTCTTGTAACTTCCCTAAGACTCAGTTTTCTCATCTACAAAATGGGAGCAATAAGAGAAAATGTTCTACCTTACCTACGCTGTTGTGAGAATAAGATGAAAGAATGGCAGATGCCTTATAAACTGTAAAGTGCTGGGAGTTATCATGGAGGGGCGAATTTCTGCTTATTTTCCATTGGGAGAAATGAATGAGATTCTTTGAATACCCAGTGGGAGAAATGAATGAGATTCTTTGAATACCCAGTGGGCACCATGTTTCAGGCTGGGTTCTTTATGTCTGTCAACTTATTTAATTCTCATAAGCACTCTGTAAGGTTTATAGTCCTGGTTCTACAGATGAGGAAACTAGAGTCCCAAAGGTGAAGGGTCTTCCCCAGGGTTACCTCACTGGGAAGTAAACGAGCTCGGACTTGAGCTTAGGTCTGTCTGACTCCAAAGCCCAATCTCTTAACCAAAATAACTAGATTTTAAAAGTTTTTTTTTAGGGGCTTCCCTGGTGGTGCAGTGGTTGAGAGCCCGCCTGCTGATGCAGGGGACACGGGTTCGTGCCCTGGTCCGGGAGGATCCCACATGCTGCGGAGCGGCTGGGCCCGTGAGCCACGGCCGCTGAGCCTGCGCGTCCGGAGCCTGTGCTCCACAACGGGAGAGGCCACAGCAGTGAGAGGCTGGCGTACAGCAAAA